CTAGTAAAGCATATGCATGATTGGCTTGAACAGATGTCTTAAATAAAATGTTGAGTAAATGACATCGAAAAAAAAGTTCAAATTGTGAAAATAAAAATATGGCTACTGGTAAAAATTGAAGAGCTGAGATGAAGATAGGAACCCACTTTAAGCCATCGTCATATGTTACGAAGAAAGCACTACTAAATGCTAGCATCATGCTTGTTATGGAGGTGAAGAGTGTTATCAATCCAATATTAGCTTTGAGGGGAGGGAATGATGAAGGTCATACTCTGCATAACGTGATATGAGGAATGATAAGAAGATTTAGCATGGAAGCCGAAGATGAGATCATTGCAATAGCATCTGATATTGCAAATATCATGAATGATCGTTTCCCCAAATAGTTTGGAACTCCTGTATCATCGTTAATGCCACCTGGTATGCTAAATGCCACAGTAAACACACCAGTAGCAATAAGAATTGAAACAAGCATGCATGACTTAGCTGTTCCCTTCATCCATGACTCAACACCTTTATGTAATGCAGTTTGCTTCTTAGTGAATAACTCACAAGGAGTTTCACCTTTTAAGTTTTTCCTCTTCATGTATGATGGCAACACTATCTTCCTCACCTCCTGTCATGTCAAATGATTGTTCATAAATTAATTTGTGTAAATATTCTAGTTTATGGGATCATCTAAATCACTTCATAGTTACTGGCTAAAAAAAAAAAAAGTACCTCAAACCATAATAGTTCAAACTTCATTTGGAAGGTTGTTCCAGAGACTAATTCAAGTCGATTAGCTAGCGCTAACATTGCAGCTAAATGTAATATAGTGTTTCCAGTATTTTTGTCTTTATATGACAATATGATATCCTTACTTCCACTCATATCATGGATGAGATTAAAGATTTTAGGGTGACGATGTAAAACAGCAATATAAATTATAGTTTGTCTTTTGTCGTCCAATTGCCACATTAAATCAAGGTAAGACTTCATAAGCGCAGCTAAAAAGTCATAAAGTTTCCAACTTTTGCTGTATCAAATAGTAGGCTTGAAGGTTCATTTATGAGTTTCTTGACATTTTCCTTTGAGCCTGCACCCTCGAGAATTTCTTGCCACAAGAGACGAACGACTTCAAGGGCAACACTATGCTTTGTACCTGGGATACAATTTGATGAATTGAATATGCCAAGTTAGAAGTTAGGCAATACTATGTGCATACTGGGGGAAAGAAGCACTGATAGGTCACACGTTAAGACCAATTTTTTATTCTTCCAAACAAGTAGTTACAAGGCTAATTAATTTAATTACCTAATCTTGTGGGTTGAATTTGATGTTCTGGGCTATAACTTCCCCAATCTGCTATCCGAGCCACGTAATGTAAACCTGTCATATCATCTTCATCTGCTGCAAATGCTAGTGCGGGCCTTTTTCTCAACATTTCCAGTGCTAAACCTACATATGAAAATATGCAAGAAGCAGTCAAGAAAGGCAAATAAAAATCTAAAATTAGATGGTGTTTTCTGACAGTTCAATATGAAACATAAAGCTGCATACCAAGTTCAAATACTACATAGAAAATATAAATTTTTTCTTTGAATATGTATTGAATACTTGTCTGTGCCCTACTGCACTTTTAATAATTAAGTGTATTCAATCGTGCTTTATATGCAGCATACACTTACCATAAATACCAGGTTCGATGCAAGTGAGGAATAACTTCTTCCACTCTCCTTCCTCAAAACTTTCATCAACAGTGGAAGAGTATAGATGGTCTGTCAAATCAGCTCTTCCTTGTAATGTAGCAAAAAGAATAGGAGTGAAACCTTTTCGACTTCTTATTTTTGGTAAGTATGGATTCTTTTTTAACATAAAGTCAACAATCTCCAGGTTTCCTGTAATAGTAGCAAAGGTGAAGGTAGTGCTTCCCATTTCGTCTTGGAAATCCAAGTCTATGTTGTTCTGACTCATCATGTTCACAAGCTCCTTCACAAACTGCAAATGGCCTGCTCCTGTTGCTACATGAAGTACTGTTGCCCATCCTTCTGCTATGGCAGCACTTAGAAGTGTTCTATTTTGGTCTAATATGGGCTTAGCTTTTTCCCAATTGCCTTCAGATGCATGCTTGTGAAGACGCACACATAAGTCGAAGTACGTCATTCTGGCCTCCGCCGAAACAATGGTGTGATTTCATTGTGAAGTTCTCATATCAATTTTTTGGGATGTGATTAATTTATGGGAAGCAGCAATTAACAGCAAGAATACTTCCAAACAAGAAGGTTAAAAATAAAAGTGAAAAGAAATTATGATTGTAGAGATGCGATGTGTGTTTTTATATCATTTTCAAGTCATTTATACGAATACATAGATGTAAAATGGAACATAAACTTTATCTTAATATGAAAGGATATTTGATGATACTTAGCGTTGTAGGAAAATCATGAGGAACCACAAATAACCGAGGACATTAGTGTTTTACCTGACATTGGAAAGAATGGAGAGATAATAGTTAATTATATGTACCTTGTAAAAGGTCAAGGGAAGTCTCCTAAACTCAGCTGATTCAACCCTCCGTAGTAGGGAGTTACGAGGTACTTCAGGAGGATCCGCTATATCACCATTTAATGATCCATTACCTGCAAATTTATACACATTAATTAATACTTCACTATATTCAGTATCAACATGAGTTTTCTATACTTTTTTTTTTTTTTTTGAAAAAAGAGCACTTATTCCTGCTGACAAAAGGCTCTGTTTGGTACCACGGTGGAAAAGTAACTTATAAGTAGGATAAGTTAGTTTGCACATTTGGGAGCTGTTTGGTTGAGTTTTTAGCCAATCTGATTTATAAGTTAAAAGCTACCTTTTTAAGCATAATTATAAAAGCACTTCAAACTTATTTATGACTAATGCAAAAGTAGTCTTTTAGAATCAAAAGACATTTTTGCCTTTATGTTTATGTTGTTCTTATGCTTCTTTCTACATATTCATTGTGCTTCCTACTTAGTTTTTAATTATTTATTTTTAATACTCTCTTTAGTGAACATAATTTTTAACATAGTTTCTATACTATTTTTAATTTTTAATATTATTTTTTAATCTATATTTGCATAAATTGCATGGAATATATCATCCAATTAATTATTTGGTTCAAAAATTTTGACATTATTATGATTTCTAATTTAAATATATTTTATTCATTAAATATAACTTCTTTCAATTATAATGATTTAACATTATTATATTTTGTAAATTCAAATTTTTATAATCATCTTCATTATTTGATAAAAGTTATACCCATTTTAGTCATTCTACAAATTAAACTTACTTATCCAATCATAATCCAAACGACTTTTCTACTTTACAAACCAACTTTTTTAAAAACAAATCCAAATATAAATCACATTAGCCATTCTAACTTTTATCCAGGCTCACTTTTCTAATCCAAACAGACCCAAAAACAGCGATAATAATATTTACACACACACATATATACTTTGATAATACGTATACCCATCCATATAGGCTCCTTCGGGTCCCAAATGTATAGTCCATTTCTAAATGTAAGGACTCATTCCCTCTAATCTTCTACATTAAATTTTCATTCCCATAATATATTTTGGGTCTTTTTATCTTTACGCATTAAATTTTAATAATTAAATGATATTTCTTTTGAAAAATTATTATAAGTTAACTTTCTACATGCCGATTACAAGGGGGGGAAAAAACAACTTACCTACTTTTCTTTTTAAAATTTATGAATAAGTTAAAAGGCCTTATATTTAGGGTTAAAGGGAGTAGATTATTTGGTCAATTTTATATTTATGAATGATAATAATTAAATCTATCTATTACTATTATAAGGGAGGGGTCTCCGCAAGGTCATCCAGAAATGCGACAAGTGGCACAACAAGGAAGAAGATAAATACGTTAATTTTTTAATTGTTTCTTAAATAATTTATCCTCTCTTTTGCAATTTAATAAATCATATTATATTTGTTTGCTACCCTCCCATTTCAGTTTTCCCACGTTTTTTTTTTCAGAAATATTTCAATTTACCTAATTTTTTATTCATTTTTTAAATAATTTATGAATTTTAATTTTTAGCTTGACTTATCCGAAATTTGTGGCTGATGGGCAGTTTAAAATAAACCGTATAGACTCTAAATAAATGCACCAATTTTTTAATCATTTTGAAATAAAGAGTCATCTCTTTTACTAATTAATAAATCATTTAATAATTGTTTTATTATTGCATATATTGGTTTCCCCACGTTTAAGATCATGCAATATGGAACGTGGGTTGATTATTTCATTGTAAGTAATATTTGTAAATATTGGTTGGCCCACGTCCTCTTTTACTAATTAATAAATCATTTAATAATTGTTTTATTATTGGATATATTGGTTGCCCCACGTTTAAGATCATGCAATATACGTGGGTAGATTATTTCATTATAAGTAGTTTTTGTATATATTGGTTGGCCCACGTTCTCTTTTACTAATTAATTACTAATTAATAAATCATTTAATAATTGTTTTATCCTCTCTTTTGCAATTTAATAAATCATATTATATTTGCTTGCTACCCTCCCATTTCAGTTTTCCCACTTTTTTTTTCCAGAAATATTTCAATTTGCCTAATTTTTTATTCATTTTTTAAATAATGTATGAATTTTAATTTTTAGCTTGACTTATCCGAAATTTGTGGCTGATGGGCAGTTTAAAATAAACCGTGGATAGATTATTTCATTATAAGTAATTTTTGGATATATCGGTTGGCCCACGTTTAGGATCATGCAATATATAATAGTAATAGAAAAAATAATGAATTTTTCGCTATATAAAGAGCAAGAGACTATGGATTTATTCCAATTAGCAAATTCCTCCTGTTGTTATCGAACCATCAGTGTTCTCCAGGTGTTCACATGGCTCCTGCATTTGATTCAGTTCGTGCTATTAACCCATGCAGACAAAATTGGAAAATCAAAGTTCGTGTGGTTCGATTATAGACTATGCCCGGATGCTACTCTCATGAAGAGATATCATCCCTGGAAATGATTCTCAAGGATGAGGATGTAAGTGTTTTACTGAATAATTTAGGCATCTTACTTCTTATGTTCTAAGAGTTATTTTCTTACAGGGTGACAACATCCATGCTACAGTTAAGACTGCCTTCCTTCGACGACATCGCAAGAGTTTTGAAGAGGGAAAAATATATTTGGTGTCGTATTTTTATGTGTCTCCCAATACAGGCTCATACCGAACCACTGATCATCCCTACCGAGCAAACTTTATTTTTTCCACTTCTGTTCAACCATATGCAGATGATGGCAAAATAAACAACTTTGGTTTTGCATTCCGTTCATTCTTTGAAATATTATCCAATCAGTTTGATGATCGATATCTAATTGGTAGGCTGTTATATAAGTGTTGGATATGTGATTATTATGTTAAAATTATTTGTGGTGGCTAACTCTATATTTTCTCTTGTAGATGTCATCGGGTTACTAACTGGAGTGGGAGAAAAAGAAGAATGCAATGTCAACGGACGCACACAGTTTAGGCTTGATGTAGAGTTAATGGATGAAGGGTACACTCTTATTCTGAGTTTGTTTCTCCCAGTTTAACCAAGTCAATGATTAAAAACTTGGGTTTAGAGTGGAATTTTTTCTTTTTGTTTATTTCATTTTGACGGGAAGGAAAAACTAGAGTGTACATTGTGGAGAGATTTTACTAATGAAGTTCTGCAGCATGTGTCTCATGTCCATACTGGTTCTACCATCATCATCATTCAACTGTGCAAAGTTAGGGAGTTTAAAAGTCTGATACTATTTATTTGACACTATAGTTACATTGGGTTCCTTTAAACAATAATAAATCTAATTTTGTTCCATGTAATGGCATGGCAGGAAGGAAAAAAGTCTCCAATTCCATGTACTCTTCCCGTCTCTTGATTCATCCTACAATACAAGAAGTTCAGGAGTTTGTGCAGAAGTATGCAATTACATTGGTTTGAGTATAATAGAGTCTACATTTATTCCAAGTTTTATTGTATATGATAGCATTTATCTTTTTTTTAATAAATATTTTTCACAGATTGAAAAGTGCTGGGATTTAGTTGGGCCAAATACCTGCTCGAATTGCTCCACAAATTGTAGTATCTGTGGCCGACGATCTACTGGCTTTGGATGATTGAAGAAAAATAGTGGATTTACGATCTGGACCAATAGTGCGTAGCTAGCATAATGCATTGTTTTCTACTTCGTTTGTTTGTATTTTTGTCAATCTTACTATTCTTATCTTAATACTGTATATATTTTTTGTGTTATTATTACAGGAATGTATAGTGGTTACTATGGCGGATATTGTAGATGTGAGATCTGATCGTGGATGGATGTACACATCATGCAAACAGTGTAGCAAGAAAGTGGTTCCAGATGGAGAAGGTTTCTTTTGCGAAAAGTGCCAAGCTATAGTAAAAGCTGTTATTCCCAGGTAATGTTAATGTGATATATCTCTTTCGGTGGTCACAATTTTCATACAAAAATATGTATTATTTTATACAATACTGATATTTTATTAGCAGGTTCATGATGGACTGTGAGATACTGGATGACACTGGATCATGTCGTGTTTTAATTTTTGACCGAGAATTATTCAAACTGCTTGGGTGTTCAGCAGCAGAGTTGAAGGCACGTCAAACTAATCAGGTTGTTAAACAGCAAGCATACAAATTGTTTTGTGTCATGCATGTTTTTAATCCTGTGCCGTTTACATTTTCTAACCACTCATCAATTATTTATCCAGGATGACTCCGATGAAGGTATATTGTCATATATTCTTGAGCAGATATCTTGGAAGAGGTATTTGTTCAAGATACGTATTCCAGGAGATTATGTCAATGGGAATTCCAATGTGTGTGTAGCTACTCGGTTGACAAATGATAAAGCCATAATGCAGTCTTTCTTGAACACATCTTATGAAGACATTGCATCAGAGGGTTGTACTTCCGTTGGTCTCACAGAAGAAAAGGTATAGCTATTTCATTTTCTATTATATCATTTTATTTATGTTTTGGATGCATTACACAAATATATACATATGTTTCTACACATCTAAATCTTTACATTTACGCAGAACACTGAGCAGTGCCTGATAGAATCATCAGACGGTGCAAGTTCTTCTGCTAATCAAACTGTGCATGCAAATTTCTCTGAATTATCAAAATTTGACTCAACCTCTACACACCAAGTGGCAAATACAATAGGCCCAGGTTTCGAAGCAATGAAGTCCATAGTAGAATCTAAAGTTGCAATTGTAAACACTGCCAATGTTGAGAAGGCAAACCCCTTTGGTGATCTCCCATCAGCTAATTGTCAAGTTGAGGTAGAGAGTAGCAAGCACAGTGCTGGTTTCATGGAAATCCCTTCTACTACGTCTGGACATAATGGTGCGAAGAACGGTACTAAAAATATGTTAAATCATCCACTTGGTGGAAATCTTGAAGCTGATGAGAATAATACATCATTTGCAAGACGCCGCAGAGCAAAACGCAAACAAATCCAGGAAGAATAGGCTTGAGTTGATGATTTCAAACTTTCTGTCATGTTGTTCATGTCATTTCTAGCTCTTATGCCTAATCTGGTGCTTTTAATATGCTTTTAGGTTATGTATTTATTTCCAGTTGTTATGTGTGTTGGTCTTTTGCTTAGAGACAATTATGCTTTTTATAATGGTCAAACAATTTTGTTGGTTTCATTTCATACTTATCTATTTTGTAAGTGTTTTTTATATTTCATCCTAGAACCATTAAGAAAAATATGATCAATATTTCGTCTATTTTATTATTCATGCAATATTTTACATAATTTTTTTTACCTACTTGTCATTATAAATAACATATGAAATAATGATGTGACCTCTGCTTTTTTTTTCCCTTTGGTCTATTGAGATGCTTATACAGACTTAAAAAAAATAAAATTTAAACTGTTAATAAAAATTTAATGCTTATAGCTAGGATGCATGGCATATGTATTTATTTGTATTACCCACTTGTAGGACTTCCTTTTTTCTTTTTTTTCCTGTTTGGAGCAATGATCCACTTGTGTAGCAGTGGATTTAAAAATAGCTAGATATATCCATATCTTACACACCATGTTCTTTCTAGACCCACTAACAAGTTAATAAATTTCGACTTAATGCAGGGTGTTTGAGACAACAGTGTCAAAAAAAAGCAAGAGAGAGAGAGAGAGAGAGAGAGAGAAAATCCAAACTTGTTTTTCATATGATAGATACTATAGATTTCAATTAGCCTATTATTAGCAATTAAAAAACTAAGCAAATTGATGATTTGCTCTATTGCCAACTTTGTTTACAATATTCCGAGCCACCACTAATTTTTTTTGCCTTTCATACAATAATTAATTATTCCCTATCTGGTATTCATTTTATTTTGGAGGAATTAGCTAATGGGTCTGTTTTAAGTTGTTTGCCTGGGATTTGCACTATTGATTACAGGTGATTCAAATTTATATTTTATGTGGGATTGTGTAATTTCAATTTTTGGCACCATTATTTTGTATATTTCAATTTTTTGGGTTGGTGCTCTCAAAGAATTTTAATTGTTGAAGTTGACATTAAATTTTTTCTTGTGTTTGAAATGTCCTCTTTTCTGTTACATGTATACTTTTCCCAAGAAAAAAGGTAACTATTTTTCTACATCATATTTACTTTTTCTGAATTAAAAAAAAATTAACACACTACCCATGTATTGATGAAATGTTCTGATTAACCTACTTTTGGATATATTTTCCGTGTTATGTTTTCTGTAATTGCTTATTAGGGTATGTTTAGGTTATTAAGATATTAACTTATTCCTTTATAAGCATAATATATGGCAATAAAAACTCATTATAGGTGATAGCGTTTTTTTTATTTAAAAATTTTATTTTTTATTTGTGTTTTCCTTAGTTAATAGCTGATTTTGTGTTTTTTTTTATGTTTTAATTTTTTTAGTTATTTGATAATAACTTCTTCCTATTTACATGGGTAGTGGGTTGTTGTGGCCATGGACAGTTTTTCCATAATGGGCAACACCCACTTCCCAGGTCAATTGCTGATTAATGGGTTAGGAGTTCATATTATTTTTAAATGGAAAAAATAAAACAGGTTAATTTTTTTAGCAAAAAGTAAAACAGGTTATTAAGATATTAATTTGTTCCCTTCTATATATAATATATGACAGTACAAAAATCATTTTAGGTAATAACGTTTTATATTTAAAATTTCTACATATATTACCTCAGGATATGCAAGATCTGCTTGTACATGTTGAAAAAATATCGCTGGATTTATTAGGCATTTATTATGGCTGATTATATGTTTTGGAGTTCTTTTTCTTAAAAATTTTTTTTTATCCATCTCTTTTATTATTTTTTCCTTCAGTGCAGCGTGAACACAATGATTTTAATCAGCCAGCATGGTAGTGCATAATTAAGGGATGTCAATTAATTTTTATGAACCGGTGATCTATATTATGTAATCACCTGAGGTTTTAACCAGTTACAAAACAATATATTAAATTACGTGTCTAGATGAAGTGAATATTATTTAAATGAACTCATCTATGCTAAAAATATATTCAGAATTTTTTAAAAACGCATACATGTGGCGCATACATGTGGGAGTTACATGAATGTCTTAAATGTACATATTAGTCAAAGTTAAATTAATTAGTGTCAAGTATCCAATGCATTGCAAAATTATGATAACATAGGTGAGGTTTTAATTTGCGTTTCCACCAAGTTGATCATACCAAGATTATGTTAACTGAGGAAACCCAACTTACGTCATTTGAAACAATTAAATCCCAATTACAGTTTTACTTGTGCACAGCGAAACAGTTTACAATTAATATAGATACTTGTGCAATTGTGTCACCAAGTTTTTCCTATCCGATTTATACTGTCAGTTCAAAAATTATACCGTTGTCAAATTATAAATGGGAGTATACCCCTAGAATAATTAATGAGTACCTAGAACATGCGAATTCAAAATATGTTAAATTTTTTATCTAACATTTTAATAATTGATACATTAAGATTTATAGAAGGGGCCTTATTTAGCTAAATCGTGACAAGTGCAAGACGTGCTTCCTTTCAACTGCCACCACTTCCTCACGTCTTCAATTCATATGTCACGTACGAGTGTTGTGTTTTCCTGCTACGCACTTATGGCGATATACTCTAACTAACTACCTCACAAGCTTTCATATAAAATATAGAATAAATAGATTACATAAAGATAATGAACTGAATGAAGTGAAGACTATTCAAAGACAGCAGTCTCAATTCCAGCAAGTCTCAGCATGGATAATGATGGCTCTTGCCCAACAGCAGTATTTTCTCCAGGTTTCTTTATCTCATTTCTATATCAAAACCATGGCATATCGCGATTTCTCGCCCCGAACTACTTTTTTCTGTGACTACATTATATTTCTATTTTATCCGATGAATGATTACTTAGCTGTGGCATAATCTTCTATTCACACAGTAGCCTACTATTCTCCATTCATGGAATTTACCATGTTTATCAACATTCAACCTATCAGATATGTTGTTTTAATCATGGCTGTTGCAACTCGATAAACAGAGACATTTCTCATGTCTGCCGATTTATTTGATTGTACTTGGAATGTATGTATATTATGACCTGTCTAATAATTATCTTTGTATATGCTGCAGTTTCGTCAGAAAATACTATGTTTGCCATGGCACGGGCTCAACACTTAGATATACTCAGGAAAAAGAAGAGAAAATGTTATGGATATGTTGACGGTGTGTATGAACATTTTTTGGGTTATTTAGCTATCTATTGTGGACACTCTTCGGTATTGGCTTAACAATACATTTACATGCTATCTACCTCCACAGAAAACTCAAGTGTGGATACTCAAGCTTCGCGGCCGAAAAAAACAAAAAGTGGTGTCTGACCGATCAGCGTTGAGAACAATAACAAATAGTAAGCTTCCCCAATAAAGAACCATGTATCAGCATTACAGAATTGATTTACCATAAAGTTCTATCTGGCGAAAATAATTTTCTCTGATCACCTAGATTTTTCTCATAAACAAATGTTCTGGAGTTGACGGTTTCTTTGACTAAGTTTGGCGTATTTTATATCAAAACTGAATAAAACTATTAAGTGAAATGTAATTAATCCAAATATCCACTAATAACTGGTATATATTTAATGTTGATGATATATCATGTACATATTTTGATATAAACATGTAAATGTTATCATATAAGAATTTTGTTCATAGCACAATATATGAATAGTATAATTTTTATTCAATTAAGATAATCTTATATGATTTTTGTATTCTAGAGAGCTGACTGATACCTAAATATTTATCATTTTTTCATATTCTCCACTGTGAACATCGATATGAATATTAATTAATAATTATCACATATTGTATTATTGTTGTCAGAGTTTTCATTATCTAATATAATAGGTGATAGTTCCTGAAAAAACATGTATTAATTATTTGTTACTCATTATTATGAAGTATCACTACTTAATTGGTAAATACAATTTAGTATGCTTCTTTTTCACGTTGATAACTGTTTAAAGGATAGCTCAATTACCTTTTTTCTTCTTGTTTTTTTTAGATTGTTCGGCAATGCCAGCGCCAAATCAAACCCTTCACAGCTTAGCAAGGTTGCAGAGGCTTGATATTCGTCGCAAGAAAGCAAACAAATTACCCCAGAGTTCATTCCAGGAGCATGGTCAGTTTAGCACTTTAGCAAGTAATGTTTATGGTAAAACAGTGAATACTTAATTTGCTACATTTTTTCTGCTTTATTTAGGCATCACCTTATATAAAAACCCATTCCAATTTTTTTAATTTACTAACTCACAGAATTGCAAAGATACAAGGACTTAGGTGATCAAGATTTCATTTGTTCTTATTGTAATGCTAAAATGTGGAGCGATGAACGTCTAAAAGGATACAAACATGAAAGTTTGCCGCGATTCGGAATGTGTTGTCATCAAGGGAAAGTTCATCTTCCAGCTTTACAAGATCCTCCTGCTGAATTATTAGCTTTACTATCTGGAGAACACCCTCAAAGCAATCACTTTCGATCACATATTAGAACATACAATATGATGTTTGCGTTTACATCAATGGGTGGAAGAATTGATAGAAAAATAAATGATGGACGAGGCCCATATGTTTACAGGATAAATGGGCAAAATGTGCATATGATTGGGAGTATATTGCCAATGGATGGTGCCACACCTAAGTTTGCTCAGCTATACATCTATGACACATCAAATGAGATTATTAACAGAATATCTGTTGTCAGGTAAAACTAAATTACTGTACATCATCGTTAAATCTAAACTAAATTATTTTAACGTTTTAGTATTGCATTTTATGATTTGGAATTTATTGGCTAACAGCTCACTTGCCTACGATTTTATTGTTGACACTTGCAGTGGTGAGACTAGCAGCTCATCAACAGTAAATGTTTCTCTTGTACAATTGATACAGGTGATGTTGGATGAGCACAATGAATTGGTTGAAATCTTTCGTCGAGCGTGTGATCTCCTGGCTGCTAATGAGGAACAGACTATCAAAATTAAGCTTGTGCATAAGGGGGGAAGAAATATCCAACAATATAACTTACCCAGCTCAAACCATGAAATAGCTACTTTGATAGTAGGAGATATTGGGTCAACAGAATATGGAAGAGATTTGATCGTTCAATACAAGACAGGCATGTTACAGAGGATATCTGAAAAACATAGTAATTTCTTGCCATTGCAATATCCTTTATTATTTCCTTATGGCAAAGTTGGTTATAGTGAAGATATACCTCATATAACATTCACAGATGATGAGCCAAACAAACCCTCATATGTTTTATTGCGTGAGTATTTTGCTTATGTAATCCAAGATAGAGATAATGAATTCTCTACAATTCTAATGGTGAAAGTTATTCCAACAGTTCATTGTTGATGGATATACCATGATTGAAGCAAGTAGGTTAATTTCTTACGGAATAATCAAAGGCAATTGCGTGCCGAAATGTATAGAGGATTGACTGATGCTATTCTCTTGGGGGAGAGGGAGGCAGCTGCACAAGGAAAAAGAATTATTCTTCCATCTTCTTTTACTGGAGGTCCGCGTTACATAATGGGTAATTACCAGGATCCAATGGCAATTTGTAATTGGGCTGGATATCCTCAACTCTTCATAACATTCACTTGCAATCCAAAATGGCCAAAGGTGACTAGAGCACTGGAAAGACAAAAATCAAAGTTGGAAGATCACCCAAATATTTTATGCCGAGTGTTTCACATGAAATTAGAAGAATTGATGCAGGATTTACAAAATGGTGATATCTTTGGTCCTATTAAAGCAAGTATTAATATTTATCATTTATTACTTGCACATAAATTTGTATTACTATATAAAATATTAACCATTACACACCATTTCGCACTATCTTCTTTACTTCAATCTTATATTAACTAATGAACTTTTACCTAATAGCCTTGTATACAATAGAGTTTCAAAAGAGAGGTCTCCCCCATGCTCATATCATTCTATTTCTGGCAACTGAGACCATGCTTGATACACCCCAAGATATTGACCGATTCATAAGTGCTGAGATACCTAATAAGGATGAAGAACCAGAGCTTTATGAGGCAGTTAGCATTTACATGATGCACGGACCTTGTGGCGTAGCTAATCCTAAATCCCCATGTATGGTGAATGGAAGCTGTTCAAAATTTTATCCAAAATCATTCAATTCTAGCACCATTATCCATGAAGATGGCTACCCGCGTTATAGAAGACTAGATAATGGCCAAGAAGTAATGAAAAATGGAATACCATTGGACAATAGAAGTGTCATACCTTACAACAGCACGTTATTATTAAAGTATCAGGCACATATTAATGTTGAGCGAACCAAGCATGGAGAGTCAATCAAATATTTATTCAAATATGTGAGCAAAGGACATGATCGAGCTATTGCAGCTTTCTATACAGAGACGTCTTCAAGTGATTCTAGAGCAAACCATGATGAGATAAAGATGTATTATGATGTCCGCTATTTATCACCATGTGAAGCTGTTTGGAGAATACTTAGTTATGATATAAACTTTAGAACACCTTCAGTACAAAGGCTGTCTTTTCATCTCCCTAATCAGCAATCAATTATCTATGAAGATAACGCTGACTTACAAGAGGTGGTAAATCATAATGCTGGAAAACTCACAATGTTTGAAGCATGGATGAATGCAAATAAATTATATGGGGAAGCACGAAGATTAACATACTCTGAATTTCCAAACAAGTTTGTGTACAAAAAAAATGGTTATTACTGGGACTTCAGGAAATCGGGGTTTGCAATAGGGAGATTGTACTATGTGCCTCCTGGGTCTGGAGAGATCTATTATTTGCGTTTACTGCTAGCTACAGTCAGAGGTCCTACATCATATGAAGATTTAAGGACTGTTGATAGCATTCTCTATCCAACATTTAGAGATGCATGCTATGCATTGGGCCTATTGGAGGATGACAAAGAATATATTGATGCTATGAAAGAAGCAAATCAATGGGCTTCTCCAAGTTATCTTCGTCGTATGTTTTCAATCTTATTATTGTGCAACTGCATATCTCGACCAGAAATTGTATGGGAGCATACATGGAGATTCATGGCTGAAGACATCACATACATGCAACGACAATTAACTGGTTATACAGGTATCAATTTACCCATATCTTTGACTTATCTTTATTAGGCATGCAAAACTACCTAAGAAGAACAAAAAGTAAATGCCATGCAGTTTTTCAATCATATATTTTAGAATGCTTTATTTGTATTAGATATTCATTTCTAGTTTATTTAAATATATATTAGAATGCTTTCTTCGTATTAAATACTTATTTCTGTTTGGCTTTGGTTATACCACATTCTATCTTTCTCTAGATATCTGTGACAAAATAATACACATATTTTTGTAGGTCTTATATTGAGCAACACTGAACTACACAATCATGCTTTATTAAAAATTGAAGAACTATTGAAAATTCATGGCAAAAACCTTCAAGATTATCCATCCATGCCTTTACCAGAAGATTGTTCTGATAGAAGTACAATAAATAGATTGATTTTGGCTGAGTTGGACTTTGATAGAGTTGCACTTCAACATCAACTGCATGAATATCTCAATAGTTTCACTGATGAACAAGCCATATTCAATTCTATCATGAATGCTGTTAATACGGGTTGTGGTGGTGTCTTTTTTGTTTATGGTTATGGGGGGACAGGTAAAACATACTTATGGCAAGCATTGTGTGCGTCACTGAGATCAGAAGGAAAGATAGTCTTGAGTGTTGCTTCCAGTGGAATTGCCTCACTATTATTACCCAATGGAAAAACTGCACATTCACAATTTGCCATTCCCCTTGCAATAACTGAGGATTCGGTTTGTAATATACGTCAGGGATCACCTCTTGCTGAGCTTTTGATAGAAACCACCATGATAATATGGGACGAAGCTCCTATGGCAAACAAGTACTGTTTTGAGGCATTGGATAGAACACTGCGAGACATAATGAAGCTTCCAAACCCCAATGCTGTAAATCAAGTGTTTGGGGGAAAGACAATTGTCCTTGGTGGCGATTTTAGACAAATTTTACCTGTTATACCAAGAGGTAGTCGAGAGGATATTGTGTTCACCTCTATCAATGCATCTTACATATGGAATGATTGCAAAGTATTTACACTAACCAAAAATGTAAGGCTGACTACAGGTAATTCGTCACAGTGTTCTAAGGAAATAGCTGAGTTTGCACGCTGGATTGTGTCGGTTGGTGATGGTGAAATAGATGTAGAAGATGGCACTAATGATACCATTACTATTCCAGAAGATTTGTTACTATTCCCCTCAGGTGATGCAATGGATTGCATTATTGGTAATACATATCCAAATTTACTTAATAATCGGGATGATAAATCTTATTTCAAAAACCGTGCAATACTAACATCCAACTTATCAACAGTTGATGATGTTAATAATCATATGCTTTCAATGTTACCAGGGGATGAAGTTGTGTATCTAAGTGCAGATAGTGTTTCTAAGCAAGATGGTATTAGTGCCTCCATTGCACAAATGCACTCAGTTGAGTTCTTGAACAAAATCACCATGTCTGGTTTGCCAAATCACAAATTGGTCTTGAAGATTGGATCTCCTATAATGATGATGAGGAATTTAGATAAATCAATAGGATTATGTAATGGAACCCGTTTGGTTGTCACAAGATTAGAGAAACATGTGATGGGAGCAGAGATTATCACAGGGATTGGTACAGGCCAAGAAGTCTTAATTCCACACATTACTATTACACCATCAGAAACTTCATTACCATTTGCATTGTGTAGAAGACAGTTTCCAATCATGCTCTCTTTTGCCATGACAATAAACAAAAGTCAGGGTCAAACTGTAACAAATGTTGGCTTATTTCTACCTCGTCCTGTTTTCACACATGGTCAGTTGTATGTTGCTATCTCTAGAGTTCAAAATAAGCAGGGTCTCAAAATACTGATTCTTGATGATCAAGGAAACCCCACCAACAAGACTTCCAATGTAGTTTTTAAAGAAGTTTTCTACAATCTATCTCTTTGATTCTTTATTCCACAGGGGCTAATGTAGAATGATGTTATTTATGCCCGTGTTCAATTTAAATGAGATGTTTTGTGTGTATGTGGGTAATGGTTGGTCAAGTAGAAAGGCTTGTATGTATTGAGTTCTTTTATGGGCTTTGTATAGGGTGCTATTTCTAAGGGATATCATGGCATGTTGGCTTATTTGTGTGCCCAACAACTACCTCAACTGCCATGACTGGAAACGTAGCCTAAAATGTCGAGTAGTGGATCTACATGATATGCTTTTTATGTGGATGGCGTAACACAGATATTTTATCCGTATTTGATTTACGCTTTTAAAAGTCTATCCATAAATAAACCTGGTTTAAATGCTTCTATGTCTATTTATAAGGGTGTATTGGGCATAATATCATACTTATGAAAATAATATTGACCAACTATGGGCTTTTCTGATTTTGATTAAAAAAAAAAAAGACCAACTATGTATAGTTTAAATTTGAATTGGTAAGTAAACTATTTATAATTAAAATATAAAAATGTTTATCTCTAATGTATTGAGAAATCTGGGTTATATTTTTTATCCTGTAGTTCCAAAAGAAAAAAAGTCCATAAACATTCAGTGTTATATTTTTTAGAGAGAATCCTGATAAAATCTGACTAAAACATCTAAACCAAAATTAAGATTTATACTTTTAACAAATTCCTAATGAGGCCATGAGGCCTAATTTAGAATTTTTGAATACTGTCAAATGAATAAAATGCCTCATTTTAAATAAAAATATAAATTAATTATTTCAGTTTTCTTATTGTCAAATTAGAAATATTATATTATTTTACTTTATTATTATTCCTATTAATTAATATTATTACTATTGTTACTTCAGTTTTCTTATTATGCATGTCTCTACCATCATTATTATTAATATTAATTTTTGCATCACTTGATTTTACAACGGTGATCCATCGTTTTAAAAATTTATGTTAGTAAAAAGGGTTTATTGGGGCATAACATCATGCCTATGAAAATAATTGCGTCTAATAAAATATCAAACCACCAATATGGACTTTTCTGATTTCAATAAAAAAATATAAACCAACTATGTATAGTTTAAATTTGAATTGGTAAGTAAACTATTCATAATTATAACATAAAAATGTTTATCTCTAATGTATTGAAACTCAATTTTATGTTATTTATTTTGTGTCTAGCTGCACAACTAACAGTCTATTCCATTAAAATATTAGAAATTAGAAATATTATTTTATTTTACCTTACTATTAATATTCATATTAATTAATATTATTACTATTGTTATTTCAGTTTTCTTATTATGCACCTTCGTATCATCATTATTATTAATATTAATAATAGCATCACTTGATTTTACAACGGTAATCTATCGTTTTAAGAATATTAATATTGTTAAAAGATTTTGACGGGTGATAAATTTTGCTTTATTATTATTATTATTATTGCTACATATTGTAAACGACAAAATCAACACAAAAAACTGTAAAATCCTTATCATATGGCTGTATTCTAAAGTTACTTATTTTGGCCATCATCGAAAATAAAGTTACATATTTGTCTGCATATCCAGGTGTATCTGGAAAATAATTGAGGACTGAACTGGTGATCGCGAAGGATAGATTTTTTTTCCAATAAATATATAAACATCAAATCAAACTTTTATGAAGTATTGATATTGATGATAATTACACCTGCAGTTGAAAAATGACAGTTTTTATATTAAAATAATATATAAAAAAAATTTGCCATTATATTAAGTTTCATAGTCTCCAACCCAAGCATGGTTAGAGTTTTAAATTAACTTGCCAAGCAACCGCCAAATGATCACGAGATAAATCATGATCAAATTACATGCCACATTTTTCGAGTAGAGGGCAGTCACACGGTTATCGTTCTGACCAAAGCATTTTTCCCATGAATAATTTGAAAAAAAAAACGCACGATTAGGGGAAAAAAAGGGTAGAAAGATAAACGAATGGATAGCAGAACATGGGTACAAGCGTGGCTTTTATAAAAATTAAAAAAATGAAAATCTTTGATCTACATATTGGTAGCGACTCCTGCTTTGTAATATGATTTTTAGTTCTTTGTACTTTTATTTTGATTTTATTTTTAAGTAATTCGCGTAACAGCATAAACACAATTTACAGACGTTACTCAGCTCAAGGATTTCCCATATTTGTAGCATAATGATATAATAATAATTTTGATATTTACATGGATAAACGAAGTACTTAAATAGAAGTTGTGTTTGAACTAATCGACTCTTTGTAATATATGACATTATGTAAGCATTTGAATGGATTCATATGCATCTTTTAGTTGGGATCTCATTGTTTTATTAGGATTTCATTTTGTTGGTGTCTCAAACGCGAGATTATATGCAATATTTAGATTATCGTAGTGGACTTCAAATACTAGGTTATACATTTAAATAACTAAATTGCAAATATAAATATTTATAAACCAGAATCATCTTAAAGGATTAAACCATGAGATACATTAAAATATCTAAACATAGAGGCATGCATTCTATACAGTCAAATCATGTAGCCACACACGTTCTACAGAATAAAACTATCCCATAGATGGCAGCCTTCCCTCGTAGCCAACCAGGTACCTAAATTGTATATCTCCAGGATTAATTGGGTTCAGTATCACATTTGTCGTTCCCTTGTAACTATGAGCACACAGTTCTCCTGCATATAGCATTACGTTGTTAGTACAATATTAAATCTTGAGCATATATCTGTCTTGAGTCCATGCGTTGGTATAATAGTTAATTTCTTTGTTCGTGACGTAGGTACCTTTTCTCTTGACTATTAATGCGAATTGAATCAATAGGTAGTTAACGTTCTCCTTACTTTTGCGGAGTTTCTTGTGTGCCATGTCTGCAACTTCATCAAGAAGAACACATTTCATGCTCTTACCCCTGCTAGTAAGAATTGCAGTCAGGTACTGTACTTTTACACATGAATATGATAGCATGATAAACAAGGTAAAGTAGGCCGGGATTTCCTACCCGAGATCTAAGAGATTTATCTTCAGAGTTGTCTTGAACGTATTCCCCCTCTCATAAAGCTTAAATCGCCCACGGTCGTTAATCAACCCGACAACATCTGCATTTTGTGTCAATTGCTGACTATCTTATAATCCACAAAAGTGTTGATTGCAAACAGAGTAAATTGAAGAAAATTTTGCAATTACCTCTTAAGATATTATTGGATGGTTTTTCTTTGACTATCTTATAAAGAGGCAAGGCATCATAAACGTTCCGTGGGATATCATTGCCTTCATATAGGATGACTTGGGTAAATCTGTGAAATATGATAACATAAGGGTGATCACAAGGCATAAAGTGATTATAGTAGTGACTGTTAATTGCATCGAATCCCTTGAAGTAGTAGCATTCTCCCTCTCTAACAATCATCCGGAATTTGTTTAGCATATCTTTCTCAGTGACTATGGCCTGGATTTTTGTTAACTGTGAAATATAAACATCATAAGTATTACATGATTATAAAAGTATGAATGCAAACATAAATTAGTAAAGCCATACCTCCCTGTCCATTAGAATAAAGTTGAGGGTTTTGATTTTACCCTCATGTGTATATTGAACATCGTTGAATACTCGAATAACAGAGACACATATGGGTATAGTGAGGAAGTTTGAATCTATACTTGTGAGAGGGAGGTCCATCACGTTATCCATTGCCTGCTATTACGTGTGAGTAGAGCTAACTATATGAGAATTGAGGGATTCCATCTGTTGTGATTCTTTTATAGACTTTGTATAGGGTGCTATTGGTAAGGGGTATCATGGCATGTTGGCTTATTTGTGCGCCTGTTAACTACCTCACTTGCCATGATTGAATACATGGCCCTAAAATGTGGAGCAGTGCATCTACATGATATGCTATTTATGTGGGAGGCATAATAGAAATATTTGCCCATATGTGATTTGCGCTTTTAAAAATCTATCCATAAAAAATGCATAGTTTAAATGCTTCCATGTCTATTTATATTGGTAAAAAGGCTTTATTGAGGCATAATATCATACCTGTGAAAATAATAGTGCCTAATAAAATATTAAACCACCAATATGGACTATGACTCGGGAAATGGAGAAATAAAGTTACAGAACAGTGATCGCTATGTTCCTCTGTCGATTTGTTACATAGATATTGGAATATTGATAAATTCAGATTTGTTATGTCAGTTCATACAAAACAGTAATTGCTGTGTAAATTATTTAAAAAGAAGTGTCTCTTATCTTATTAAAGATTAAAGATTAATAGACAAATCCCCGTCAATCAGTATAATAGTTTATTATACTTAATTTTTAATAGCCTTTTTAATAGAGCCAGATTCAGTTAAAATCTCCACGTCCCCAACTTAATTTGAAACAGTCAAATCTTTTAAATATTGTTGTTTCATATTATTATGAAAATAATTATTTTTATTATTATAATCAAAGTAATAGTATAATATCTTAAGTATGATAGAACAAAATATAATAACGTAATATATCATCACATGCCGTATATGTAGTATATTATTATAGCTATAATAAATATAATATTATATAAAATATGATGTAATATAACTTTGTGATTATAATATATATTACGTAATGTATATTTAAATTATTTGCTCTAACCCCTTATGCTACCATTTATGTAAATAAAAATATTAATTTTAGACCAAAATGGAAATACAACGAAAAAAAACTGGTCATCATTATGTACAAAGAAGTCTTTTCCAATCTGACTATTTGATTAATTAAAAAACTCTTTACTTCTATAATTTTTCATTCAGATTACACATGGTCTATCTTTAACGCTTTATTAGCCTAAATACAATTAATGAATTGATTCTTTATCCTGTTGTTGAAAACAAGTAGCATATTTTTCTATGTTGAAAATAAGTAGCATATTTTTCTAAGTTTTGCACTATCTAGGTCGATGAGAGCAAGACGTAGAATATAG